TGTAAGTGCACACCCCATTCCTTCAGAGCAAGGTCTGGTCTTGTTCCTTCCCTGAGCACAGGTGACAGTACATGTGGCACTGGGAGCACTGGGATGGCTCCCCAGCTGCTCCAGGCTGGACAAGCCAAGTCTCCTCAGCTGCTTCTCCTCTAGACCCTTCAGGGTCTTGGTTAGATGTGTCCTAAACTGCTGCTCCAGACTGTCCCATAAGAGACCTCTCCTCTGAGGTTCACAGCACACCACCTGCTGTGTCACTCCCAGATTTCCTACTGAACACAGAGGAGTGCCCGGGGGGACACCCACTGTGAGCCATCAGAAGCAGCCCACCATAGAACCATGACCATGCCAAGCTGCCTGTCATGACTCCCCCAGCCAGCACAGAGAGGTGGGGCTGCCTTCACAACAAGGATGTTTCAGGAGGGGCTTTTTTGTATGATTTCCCCCAAACCCTGCAGCACACTTATAGAAAAAAAAAAATAAAAAGCAAAGGAGACACATAGGTAGAAGCAGGGAGGAGAAGAGCATTGGGGGCAAAGGAGTAACCTTAATGGAGAGTGATGAAGGAGACCAGCAGAACATCAGTGACCTAAAGGGAAGATCTCAAAGCAACTGGTTTTTATAGTCAGGAGATTATCAAGATGATGGTTACAGTTCAGAGAAACATTCTGAACTCAGGTGCTTTTCTCCCACGCTTTCTGTGCTAAGAAGGGCTGTTAAAGCCCAGGGATAGTTTGTACCAGCCCCTGCTCCCCTCTCCATCCAAGGATACGATGTAGCCGGCAGGCAGCCAGTGGCGGGGCAGGAGAGGAACCAGGATTCCAAAGCCAACCAGAGCAAAGAACAGGAACAGCAGCCAGGCAATGACCTGGAACAGGTGTAGGGGCCAGCTCCAGCCATTTCTTCGAGCGCGTTGGACCTTCACCTCAGGGACAGCTTCGCCCAGATCCTCTGGAGCTATCTTATTATGGGGTTTGTTGCAGATATTCATCTACAGAAATCAAAAATGGAAAACAAAATGATGTGAAACAAAAGTACTGTGACTGAGCCCTGGTGCTGGAGAGATGCTCCAAGGCAGACAAAGTAGAGCCTAAAATGATGACACATGTGAAGAGAAACAGCTCTGAGCTCATTAGCAATTTCTCCTTTTTTCAGTTTGTGGTGGATTATTATATGCTGCTTTTCACTTGTCACAGGGCCAGGAGAGTTTCTAACAACAGAGAGTTGGGCTGCTCTGCTTCACAGAAAACTTGAGATAGCAGGGAAAGCAAACCAGGCAGTAGATCAGGGGCAGCATCACAAAACCAGCACAAAGGAGCTCTGCTGGACCCGAGATGACTCAAGGTACCTCTGCACCACTCTCACCCTTCCTTAGTAACTAAAGAGGATGTGAAATGAACATCTAACATGACAAACAACTTCAATTAGCCTGATTAACATGCACAGGAGAGTAATGAAAGAAAAGGCGGAGGCCTCTGGTTCACTTGTGGTATTTTTGATAATGGTTCCAGTGCCAGAACAATTCCATAGGGCTGGAAGAGAGCAAGCAGGGCAACTGCTAAAAGAGTGAGCGGGACAATTCCAACCCTGGTATGCCAACAGCCCTTCAGTCCCTGGCGAAGGGCTGGAAATATCTTTTTGGGTCAACTGGTAGAGGAGTGGGTAAGAATCGCAGAGAATATAAATTATGTTCATCAGCATGGTTTTATGTAGGCTGGAATAAAAAATTCCTAACTTCATCCTTTGAAGTAGTTAGCAGTATCTGCCTGCCTGAATTTAAGTTGCTACATGGCAACTGGCTCATCACGGATGAGAAATCATTACTAATCCTGTCATCTTTCCTCATTGCTCGTGCATCACTTTGAGCTACCTGTCACAAAACCCACAGTGGGTATGCCCGGCATCCCTTTATATGCAGCTCCAGAAAGCACTGAATATAAGAAGCAGCATGTATCACTTTCAGGGTAGGCAGAGAGAGGCACCGGGACGCACGGGCAAGCACCAGGAGGTGCCGGGCACCGGGCAGCCACTGTGGTGCGAGCCGCGCAGACCCCTCCCGCACTCCACCGCCTCCCAGCCCTCACCTTCTTCCCGCAGAAGCGGTTGGCAGCGGCCCCGCCTCATGCCCGGGCAGGGCGCGGGGCCCCGGCCCGAGGCCTCACGGCAGCTCCCGGCGCCGCCGCGGGCCGCGGGCCGCTGCGCCCGTCGCCATGGCAACGGCTACGGCGGCGCGCAGGGGACAAACCGCGCCGGGCGCGATCGTTCCGCGGGGCACGGCCGGAGGGAGCCCCGGGCTGGGTCCGCTCACACCCGGGAAACCCTGCCCGCGGCACTCCCCAGCCTTCCCAGGCGTGACAGTCCATGTCCATGGGGTGGAGATGCCCGCTGAGCCAGCGGTGCAGGCTGGTTGTGAGCTAAAGCCATCCCACTCCTGGAAAATTCCATTCCCTGTTATATCGACCAGTCTTTATGGCATGAAAATGTCGTATTTTTGTTTATATTTATATTTATATTTATATTTATATTTATATTTATATTTATATTTATAT